ACTGGAGGCGATCTCAAAGAGGTGATGCATCTGTTCCTGGAGGTCGAGGTGGAAAGAAATATATGGAAACTGAGATATCATATATTCATATGATAGTTATGATGATAGTTATGATAGTTGATGTTATACTTCATGATATTATGAATATTAACCCAGCTTTGCAACCCAACAGCATACCTGAATCTTCCACCTACGTCTTTTTTCAGACCCTGTGCCAAAGTCCTGTTTTTTCAGTACCCAGAAAACTTTTCAGGACCTACTCTCAAATTCAGGACCTGGCCATTTTGGGGTATCAATGGTAATGGCAATCATTGGGTGCAAACATGTGAAACCAACATTTGGTGGATATTCAAGCCATTGGCATTGATCCACGCAAATAAAAGCACTCCCAGCCCAAACTCATGGCAAGGCAGGATCAGAATATAGTATATTCCAGAAAGTATGTCAGAATAGATGCCAGATAGGATGCCAGAAAGAATGTCAAATAGAATCTCAGAAAAGAATGTAAGATAGTATGTCAGAACATATATGCCACATATACGTCCAGATGATATGTCAGAAACTATGTCAGAATAGTGTGTCAGGGTGGGGATCACTCTTAGTAAGGCAATTTTGAAAATATATTTCAGGTTCGGAATTTTCAAACTGTTGTCCTTCAGGCGCCGAAGCTCCCGTTGAAGGTCAGCATCGCCCCATGTCAACTGGTCCAGTCCCACTTCCATTTCAATAAGTCCAACTTCATCGATTAGGGTGTTGGTTGAATGGACTTGGGACTCTAGCTGGCACGGCATCCCTTGTAACCCTGTAGACACTGTAGTGGGCAAAAAGATTGTAACACACAGAATCAGCATCATTTTGATCAGGCATTCTTTTTGCTAATCCTTCTCCCTATACGAAAAATACCCCCAAATGACAAAAACTAGGTGCGATTTCCAATTTTGGGAAATGTCAAATTGGTTAATCTGATTTTTAATTGATCCCCTTGAGGAAACAATTTTAAAAATGAAGGTACCATGTGAGGGTTTCACCCCCAAAGAATAAAAAACTAGTCAACACCGGGGTGTCTTTTATTGGGGTCCGTCCTTTAAAATCGTCAATTTTAGTTTTTTTTAATTCAGGTGTTGGTGTTTTATTTGATACTAGGCGAAAGCTTCGAAATCCTATTCTTGGCAGTATTCTATTTAAAGATTATTTTCATGGATTTTGAAATTAGAAACAAAAAACGGTTTAATCCCTTCCCCCTGTTGCTAAACAGTCGCCCCTTCACCCACCCACCCAAATAACAAACACCTGGAGGAGTTTTTAGTATTGGGGGGGTCTTTAGTATTAGGGTACGAAGCTTCCCCCTAATACTGATAAAAAAACACACACACATATATATATATATATACATATTTCTATTTCAAAATCGATCAGATTTCTTTCTTTTTAAATCCAATTAAAATATGGCAAACAAGTGGATTCCGAAGCTTAATATCAAATAAAAACCCCCAACATAAAAAAACTATGTATGTTTTTCTATTTCGAAATCGATTAGATTTCCTTTTAAAAATTAAATAAAATATGGCCAAAAAATTGGATGTCGAAGCTTTTCCCTTATATTAAACCCTAATATCATTTTGTTTTTTTCCTGTTTCAAAATCGATTAGATTTCCTTTTGAAATCTAATGAAAAAAACAAAAAATTGATTTTGAAGCTTTCCCCTAATATCAAATTAAAATCCAATTATTAAAATATGTTCAAAAATTGGATTTCGATGCTTCCCCTAATCTTGCATGAAAAATTCCAATATAAAAAACTAAATTTGTTCTATTTCAGAATCGATTAGATTTCCTTGTAAATTCAAATTAAGATATTGCCAGAAATTGGATTTCGAAGCTTTCCCCTCATATTAAACCCTCATATCAAAGACTATTTTTTCTATATCAAAATTCATTAGATTTCCTTTTGAAATCTAATTAGAATATGGTCAAAAATTGGATTTTGAAGTTTTCCCCTAATATTAGATTAAAAAACCCTAATATAAAATACTATTTTTTCTTTTTTGAAATCGATTCGATTTCCTTTTAAATTGTAGTAACAAAAATAGAAACAAAAACCGTATTTCGAAATGTTCCCTCTAATATTAAATTACCAGCCCTAATATATTTAAAATTACTTTACTTCGTGTGATCCCCACCATGACATTTATACATTTTCTTCTGGCATATCTTCTGGCACTCTATCTGACATATCTTCTGGCATTCTATCTGGCATATCTTCTGGCATATATTCTGACATATCTTCTGGCATTCTATCTGACATATCTTCTGGCATATATTCTGACATATCTTCGGGCATATCTTCTGGCATATCTTCTGGCATATCTTCTGGCATATCTTCTGGCATATCTTCTGACATATCTATCTGGCATATCTTCTGGCATATTTTCTGGCATTCTATCTGGCAAATCTTCTGGCATTCTATCTGGCATTCTATCTGGCATATCTTCTGGCATATTATCTGGCATTCTATCTGGCATATCTTCTGGCTTATCTTCTGGCATATCTTCTGACATTCTTTCTGACATTCTTTCTAACTTTCTTCTGCACATTCTTTGTCCCATATCTTCCTACATGAGGTCCGGCAGGGAACACTTGGCGTGGATACTCGCGGTTGAGGTCCGGCCGGGAACACTGGGCGTGGATGGTCGTGGTTGAGGTCCGGCAGGGAACACTGGGCGTGGATACTCGCGGTTGAGGTCCGGCAGGGAACACTGGGCGAGGATGGTCGTGGTTGAGGTCCGGCAGGGAACACTGGGCGTGGATGGTCGTGGTTGAGGTCCGGCAGAGAACACTGTGGATCGCGGGTCGCAGTTGAGCAAGGACGACGAGGACGACGAGGACGAGGAGGAGGAGGACGAGGCAGGAGGAGGCGGAGGAGGAGGAGGAGCAGGAGGAGGAGGAGAAGGAGGAGCAGGAGGAGGAGGCAACTGACATAAAATCTAACAACCCTCACCTGGCAGGTGGGGAAAAAACTGTTTCAAAATCGATTAGTTTTCTGTTTAACATATAATTAAGATATTGCTAACAATTGGATTTCGAAGTTTTCCCCTAAGATTAAATTAAAAACGCTAATTTAAAAAAAAAACTATGTTTTTTCGATTTCAAGAATCGATTAGATTTCCTTTTGACATCCAGAAAAAATATTGTCAGGAAATGCCAAAAAGTGGATTTCGAAGTTTTCCCCCAATATTATATAAACGTTGTAATATAAAATACTTATTTTTTCGACCTTAAAAGACCCTAGTTTAAAAAGTCACCGGGGCTGACTAGTTTTTTTTTTGTGGTGAAATCTTGAAATGGCACCTTCATGTTTAATTTGTTTTTGAAAAGGTATCAATTAAAAGTCAAACTGGCCAGCCTGAAATTTCCCAAAATTTAACGCGGACCCTAGTAAAAGGAATCAATGTAATATTTTAGTATTTAGGGTACGTTTAGTAAAAGGAGGTGGGGATTAGTAAGGTTTTCAATTTAATATAAGGGGAAGCTTCGAAATCCAATTTGGCAAGATTTGAGTTAGATTTTGAATAGGAATTCAATCGGTTTTGAAATATAAAGTTCATTTTTTAAAACGAATGTTTTCAATTTAATGTCAGGGGGAAGCTTCGGAATCCAATTTTGGCAATATTTTAGTTAGATGTTATTTAAAAAATGTTTTCCAATTTAGTTTTTTAAACCAAGGGGGAAGTTTCGCACCCTCATACTAAATACCCACTAAATACAAAAAACTATTCCGTGTGTTCATTATTGGGTGGGGAGGGGCAGACGGTTTATTATGACGCAGGGATTGGTCAGGCATCACTTGCTGGAATTATTGGATTCTTTTGGGATGATTGGTATGATGTTTAGTCAGGCATGGTTCCCTTCAGTCATGCACGATTTTTGCAAAAATCCTATTTAGGCACGACCCCAAAATCCCAGCCCGGCAAATTCCGGCCCGGGCCCGGCAAATTCCGGCCCGCGCCCTGCAAATTCCGGCCCTGCGTTTTTCCAAAATCAGGCAAAACCAGTAAATCAGGTATTAAGTCAGGTGTAGTTACCTTTTAAGTCATTAAGGCTAGTCAGGCATGGTTCCCTTAAGTCGGGTGTGGTTACGCTTTAAGTCATGAAGGCTAGTCAGGCATGGGTACCTTTTAAGTGATGAAATCTGAATCAGGCGGAGCTCCTATTCTAAATGTGTTAAATCCAATTGTTCAGTGTGGAAAATCGATTTTTTGGCTGGTCTACGGGCAAACCCTGTGTCTTCCAATACCATAGCGTGCTGATGTCGCTTGCCTGCATAATAGTTAAGGCCAAAGCTTAGGTCATCAGTGTGATCCTGAAATGGCGCCACGACCAAGAAGATGACATGTGTAAAATGGGCCCTGGATTAACAAAGGCTGACTAATGAATTTGGAGGATGCCACTAAAGTATGACATGTAATCACTTTTGAGGAGCACTCTATGGCACGCAGCGCGCGCAGCCTGCTTTACGGTTTAGCGTTTGAAAGTTTTAGGCTTTGCCTCTATGGCACGCAGCGTTTGAAAGTTTAACCGTTTACCTCTATGGCAGGCTGTGCGCGCAGTACGCGTTACGGTTTAAAGTTTGAAAGTTTTAGGGTTTATGTGTGTGGCACGCAGTGCGCGCAGCGCGCATTAGGGTTTAGGGTTTGGAAGTTTTATAGTTTATTTTATTGCATGCAGCGTGCACAGCGTGGGTTGAACTTTAGGGTTTCGAAGTTTTAGGGTTAACCTCCATGACACGATGGTTTAGGGTTTGGAGATTTTAAGGGGTACTTCTATGGCACACAGCGCGCGCAGCGCGCGTTAGGGTTTAGGGTTTAGGGTTTGGAAATTTTAGGGTTTACCTCTATGACACGAGAGTTTCAGGTTTGAAGATTTTAGGGTTTATTTCTATTGCACAAAGCGCGCGCAGCGCGCATTAGTGTTTAGGGTTTGAAGGTTTTAGGGTTTATCTCTGGCACGCAGCGCGCACAGCACGCATTAGGGTTTAGGGTTTGGAAGTTTTAGGGTTTATTTTATTGCATGCAGCGCGCACACCGCGGGTTAAACTTTAGGGTTTGGAAGTTGCATAACACGATGGTTTAGGGTTTGGAAATTTTAGGGTTTACTTCTCTGGGACACAGCGCGCGCACCGCGCATTAGGGTTTAGGGTTTGGAAGTTTTAGGGTTTACTTTTTGCACGCAGCGCGCGCAGCGCGCATAGAGTTTAGGGTTTGGAAGTTTTAGGGTTTCAAGGGTTCCAAGGTTCCAGGGTACCAGGGTCCCACGGTTTCAGGGTTCCAAGGTTTCCAGGGTTCCAAGGGTTCCAAGGGTTCCAGGGTTTCAGGGTTCCAGGATCCCAGCAGGGTGCCAGGTGTGCAGGGTTGCAGGGTTCCAAGGTTCCAGGGTTCCAAGGTTCCAAGGTAGCAGGGTTCCAGAATCCTTGAGGGTTCCAGGGTGCCAAGGTTCCAAGGTTCAGGGTTCCATCCTCCAGGGTGCCAAGGTTCCAAGGTTTCAGGGTTCCACGGTCGCAGGGTTCCAAGGTTCCAGGGTTTCAGGGTTCCAGGGTTCCGGGGTTCCAAGGTTTCAGGGTTCCAGGGTTCCAGGGTACCAGGGTCCCACGGTTTCAGGGTTCCAAGGTTTCCAGGGTTCCAAGGGTTCCAAGGGTTCCAGGGTTTCAGGGTTCCAGGATCCCAGCAGGGTGCCAGGTGTGCAGGGTTGCAGGGTTCCAAGGTTCCAGGGTTCCAAGGTAGCAGCGTTCCAGAATCCTTGAGGGTTCCAGGGTGCCAAGGTTCCAAGGTTTCAGGGTTCCACGGTCGCAGGGTTCCAAGGTTCCAGGGTTTCAGGGTTCCAGGGTTCCGGGGTTCCAGGGTTCCAGGGTTCCAGGGTTCCGGGGTTCCAAGGTTTCAGGGTTCCAGGGTTCCAGGGTTCGGGGTTCCAAGGTTTCAGGGTTCCAGGGTTCCAGGGTTCCAGGGTTCGATTCCGGATTTTGAAGGCTGCAAGTCCCCGCGAGCCAGCCCCAGCCCTAGAGATTGAAACCCAACAGGCCCTGCTGTTGGGAATTATGAATATGAACTTGAATGATCAGTATCATGTGGTATTTGAGATGAGATAGTGATTTAGACAAAGAGTTCTAAGAAGGTACAGAAAAAAAAAAAACTATATATAATAATTATATGGAATTGCGGATGAACAGGTGACAAAACTGATGTAGTGTCCATGATTGTAAGTGGACTATAGGTGGATTGGTGGGCCCTGTGGGCCCTGTGGGCTGTTTTACAATCCACGGCTGGGGGACCGGCCGATACATCTGCTTCTTCTGCTTGACTGAAGATCATGCGGTACCTGTGGTCAAAACCCGCAGGAAGCGCTGGATACTACATTGAATCACATTGACAGAGATTATATGTTCACATATATATATATATATGTATATCTATATAATTATATATATATATATTCTACACATGTGTTCTATATATATATATGTTCTGAATACTACAATATAGATGTACAAGATTTACATACATTGATATAGCTTGCGAATATCTTGTGACCTGAGTCTCCAACAACTTCCCAGCATCGATGGCACTGACTAAGCCCATGTCCATCTCCTGGCAAGAAATGGCAGGAGATGGAGGTAGCATCTGCCGTTTGGTTGACATGTTCCATGTTTTAAATTCATGTCATATACATTCCCCATGATGCCATGGCTTGTTTTTAAAACGTTTTCAAATTTAAAACAATACATGTTTTGCATATGAGACCTAAAATACCTCAAGTGCTAAAAGCCGGAGGTCGCACCATTCATTTTTTAGTCAACGTGCCCGGCAGACGGCAAAGAGATCCCGCAGCTCTTTCAGGACCTCATCACCTCGCCCGGGCCGAAACTTTTGGCCCGGAATCACTGGCTGTTCATAGCGCAGCCCATTGATATGTTGTGCAAAGATTCAAATCACAAGTTTTGAGGCTTTTAACCCCTAATTCTGTTCTTGGATGATATATAACATACATTAACATACTAGAAAATATATGTGAAAAAAAATATATATATATATATGAAATCCATTGATCTCAATGATCTCTCTACCACCAAAAAAATCCACCGATTGAACCTGTGAGATCCAGTTGAAAGAGTGCCCCTCTGAAGATGGGCGTCGCAAAGAACAGCGCCTGGCGCTCGAACGTGGTGCGCTCCGTGGGCTGTGGCGGTCCGTTTGAAAAACATGGGGAGAACCATGGGAGAACCATGGGAGAACCATGGGAGAACCATGGGAGAACCATGGGATAACCATGGGATAACCAGAACCCCAGCACTTGGGGACTCACCAAAAATCCATGCAGTGGATCTAAGTGGAATGATCCAAAGCATCCAATGCGGACGATGTCGCGCCTGCACCAATGCGTTCCAAAAGCAGGAATTCCTCAGCGAATGGCGCCATTTCCCAAGTTGAAGTCACTGGAAGCAATGCTAAATTGAATGACAACATACAGTTTTTATGCTATAGAAATGGATCGAATAGATTAGAATTAGAATAGTCATCATGAAACCACAAACAGAAACCTCCCCCATTCGTCCCATTCGTCCCATTCTCTCTTCCATCTTTTGCCACTGTTCCGAATCACATTCAGATGTTGCTGATATCACCAAGGCACCCTGAGTTCAAAAGTCCTGCCGGAAGAAATGGCCTTAAGCTCACGCATGCAGAAAAAGTTGAAATGTCACGACCGTATAAACTTGACAAACAAAATGTGGGTACAGTATGCCCCAAACCTACTCAAACCAAAAAAGTGTTTATGAGTGGGAAATGATTCTAGAAAATCACCATCCAGAGTTATTTTTCCCTCAGGTTGTTCCAGGATTGATCAAGGATTCATGCATCCAAAATTCTCCGAGCACTTCCCAAAAAAAAACAAAACAGAACAAACGGAATGAAGAAACATTGGAAGAAACAGGTGGTTCCCTTCCCATCGTCACATCGTTGGTACGGAACGCCGCTGCCGCTGTAGCCCCAGGCCCTTCGGGTCCCATCAACGGTCGAAGGCCCAGAACCTCCAGAGGGTGACATGGTCATGGTGGATGACATGGATGACATATGGTGAGTATATGTGAGTATCATCTATCCGAATCTATCCGAATCTATCCCTTGTCATCCCAGAAACAGTGCGACTCACCGACCAAACCAGCCGACTCGCCACCAGCCGAACAGTTATCATCGAACAGCAAATGACAGCAAGATATCAATAGCTAGAGCAACTAACTAAATCGATATCCGCAGAAATTCATCAACGACAAAAGCGTACAAAAGCTAGATTCCGGTCCAGAACGAAAGTCAACATGGCTGGAAAATCCTCAGCCTCCTGCCATGGTTTGGTGCATTTCCCGTCCCAGCCATGGCACCTCCTGCCCCGTGACGCTTTCAATCAGGGCTCTTTGCAGCTCAGCATCCTAGCATCAACCAAAGGAGATATGGTGGCAATGTCACCAACCTAAAGGGTGTGTCTCTAAATACCAATTTCTCATGCGGAATATGACAATCAACTGGATTTTTGGGTATACCATGGTATACCCCCGTTTCTTCACAACAGCAGTGATTTTTGAGCCACCTGATACCCCACCTCGGCCAGATCTGAGGTGTTTTGCTGTGGACCTGGCTGCTGTGTTGACACCAAAAGTTGCCGGGTAGGGTCTGGAATTTGGACCCCCAGTGTTTCCTGTAGATTCAGTCCTAGACCCAGTCGCAGTTTTGGCATTCGATTTTGAGAGTGGTTCCTGGATGCAAATTGGGAAGTGTTTCATGTCCATGTTCTCCATCCACAGCCATATGGGGGTGGATCAAACTGCGAAATGAGCTCAGGTAAAATCACGTAAAATCTCAAAATGACCCGTCCATCTCTGGTTTTTGTTGGGCCTTAAATTTTAACCCATAGCCATCCAAATCTGACATTGGAAAGGTTCAGCAGCGGTATGTATATCTGTTTATCGTTCAGGTCTGGAGGTCTCATTTCCAGCCATTCCATAATTGTTTCGTGATCAACCCTGGTACCCTGCTGTTCACAGCAAATAGGGATTTTAATTGGGATTTATAGAAATTTTAATCGGGATTCATAGGGAAATCACCAACCAAAACTGGGATTTTGTTGGGGATGGTGATAATTTACTCAAAAAAATGCATTACATGTATTATGAAGATGGTCTTTTTCGTCCCCACAAAAAAGTTGGTGATTTTTCGGCGCCAATGTGTATGGCATTGGGTGAATCCCCATCGTTTGCGGGCAAATATGGAAATAACCATGGTTTATCCCATGGTTTATGCCATATTTTGCTACGATCATCCCCAGAAATTCGCCCAAAACTGCTGCCTCTCTCAAGGCTTTCGGCAATGGCCTGCTGCACCAGGAGCTCCTGAACAGGAATGGATTGCCATTAAAGTTCAACCATTTAAATAGGATAATAATACAATAATTTGAATTTATTGTTTATCCCATATAAATGGATCATTTATCAAATTTGAAGCAACCATTTTAGAATGGAATACATGCACATTCATGCATAGAAATGGGACAGATCATGGCATAAATCAGATCTGAAGCAAAACGCTGTTCGTTTTCCATTTTGAAAAGGGACGACCGCGCCCAGCTCCTCGGTGTTCTCAACGGGAGAAAATGGCTGGGGATACAACATGACATCTGATGACATCTGATGACATGGATGTTTTGGCCGCGGCTTGTCTCAAGCCACGGGGAATAGCACAATTGATGGTGTTTGTTGTTTTTTAATGGGAAAAATGATTTTTTTTCTTTAAATCATGGAATAGGAATGAATAGGATCCAATTTTGGGCATTGTATGATGCCTAACTGACCAAGGTTGAGACTTTCACTTCGGGAAAAAACACCGCCAGGGCGCCTGGTTTGAGCCGATGATGTCATCTGGTGAATCTGGTTGGTGGTTTGGACTCGCTGTTTCTGGACGGAAAGCAAGCGACCAGTTGAAAAACCAACTGTCAATCCACGCATTGAACAACATTTACCAACTAAGGAAAAAAATATGAAAAAATGGTGTGGCATTTTCCACATACCAAACCAGCAAATTGCATCATCTTTTTCATCTGTTTCATCTGTTTCATCTTTTTCCACATGCCATCCTTTCGTTCAGCTCTTGCGATATTCGCCCAAGAGCCACCAATTTTTGTGCACTGGGATGGGATCATAGATCCTGGCAACACGAAACCGGTGCCATCACCACCTCCAAACTCATCTGATTTCTCTACATCTGCTAGTCACTGCTCGTCGTCTAGTTGTACAATGTATTACAACTCAATATATAATGAAATAATGAAATATAATTTCTACTAATGCTATGAGTCACTATATAGTAATATTATATCATATTTATAGTACAGTAATATTAGTAATATAAATTAATATAGTGTACTCCCCCATCTTTTTTTATAGATATTAGTTTATATCCAAGTGTCCTAAACTCATAATATATAGTCACTATAGTATTTTTTTCGATGTTTCTCCCCCAGTGGATGAGTTTGGGACACAACTGGCGGTTCAGTCCTGTGACTTTTGCTCTCTGAGCTGCGTCAACGTCTGCCTCGATGGGGAATTTTTTCGTGGGGTTGATTTCCATCCAAAGGTGGATATAACTGGTGAAAAAAGTCCAAAAAACAACAACATAACTGGTGAAAATGTTGAAGAGATGATCTCAGATCAATTTTCTATGAAATCTATGCAATGATCTGACAATGTATGGAATGTTGAGACCTCAGAAAGACATCGTTTCCACATTGGCGAACTGGTTTTCCGTCCAGTAAACCACATCCGCATCCGAGGGAGGTGCCACGATAAGAAGGCCAAGCCCTGGCTGCAGATCCAATGAGTTGGGACATGCCATATGGATATATGATATATGGATATGGGGTATCCCATGTTTGACATATATATTTATAATACATATATAATATTTATATATATATATATATTCCGTTTGTTATATAATGGTGTTCTTGGCCAATAATGAGCCTATGAAATCTATGAAACATCGGCACTTCTTCAAAAAATGGCAGTGACACCTCCAATCGACGGCAGTCGTACCAGACCGCAGCTTTGCTCAGCTTGGACTGGCGACATCGAAGCCGCCTCGGTGTACCCAGATGGCCCAGATGGATCATGATCAAAAAAGGCATCAAAAATCGTCCAGATATCAAGTTACTATATAAGTTGATCTAAGTTGGCTGGCTGTTGTCACTAACCTGGTTAATGCTTGTTGATGTTCAGCTTTCATCGGGAGCCAAATGTGCACAAGTCTTGGCTCATGGAGATCATAGAGCGGGGATCAAGGTGATCGACCCTCCATGTTTTGCCCAACCTCCTCAGATGAAACGATGGGAGCCCCCGCAATCTGCTCAAAAACGCCTGGCAACGAATGGTTTTCGGCTCAAAGGTCCTGGTTTCATCTTCTTTCGCATACCAGGCTTTCAAAATCTGCCAAATCAAGACCTTTGATGGTGTTTTCAATGTGTTTTCAATGTGTTTTCTGTCATAAACAGCTCAATGTCAGGCTATGTCCCCTTTTTTGCCCCTTTTTCGTCGACCTTCTGCGTCTGCACTGTGGCGTAGCGCTGTTGTCGAGACACCTCCGACAGACCTGAGAGGATCCAACAGATCCAACAGTCTCACAGTGACACCAATGGTATTCCAATGGCATCACCAATTGGAATAATGGTATTACAATGGAAATCAATGAAATCAACCTAATGGTAATGATGGTATTCCAATGGTATCACTACCTGGTAATGGCAAAAAGTGATTTATCCAACCTCTGTTTAAGATGCAGTTATTGAAACCTTCGGCACTATTGAAACCATGGCCACGACAAAGTGTCCAGCTTTTCACACCGATTCCCACCCGTTCCGAGATTCCTGGCCAAACCACAACCGCAACGCCTCAAATTGTCTGCGGCTGCTTGATGTGACATCCATGTTTTGCCTATCAAAAGATCCAAATGAAACATCACCTGCACCTGCACATTCGAAATCTCATAATATCTCACGAATCTACTGGTTTACCATTGGTTTACCATTGGTTTACCCCCACTATTTTTGGGGGGTTCAACATGTTTCAACCTGTTTCTGTTGATGCACCCAGCAGAAACAGGTCTCACCAAGGCTGGGACTCTCTGAGAACGTGCGCAGGCCACAACGTCTCTGAGCTGGTCACCATACCTGCGATGGTGCGAAAACTTGGGGGAGGTTACCATATTATCATGGTTTCGCCATGGTTCTACCCTGGTTTCACCATGGTTTCAGCATGGTTCTACCCATGATATCATGTGATCTCATTTCTAGCCTTGTTTTTTGTTGGGCTATGGTTGATTTATGTCTTGATGAATCCAGCCACTTTGCCAGGTTTATGACCTCGTCAAGGCAGCTGCCCTCCGCAAATAGAGCAATGCGTGGCCACAGCGCCTGCCATCACCCCGGTCCACCCGATGCGAAACGCTCGCCATGTTTCATCCCGTCCTGCCGTCCTGGTTTTTTGTCCAAATTACTATATAAATCAACTGAATACACTGCCCGTTGAAGCTACTGTAAATACCAATCTTTGTGAATATCCCGATTTCAAACATAGTCATACGGTCATACGAGTCTGAGTTGGAAACGGGATCGTTAGTGCCCAACTTTTAACACGGCAGCGCGGTATGACTCAAGGGCCCTACAGCCAAATGTCAACGGGGGCATGTGATCACTTGGCTATACAAAATATACATTAGACAGGTCAAACTCACACTCAACATGTTCTTCAAGGATCACATGATGCTAGTGAAAAAGTTGGCTCTAAGGCTTCTTCTGTACACGGTAAATGCGCTCCTTCAAGACGCGGATGATGAGGTCCGGGCGCATGCTCTTGGTCAGAGCATCCGAGACCATAGTTCCTGTAGCAATCCAGGTAACGATGTCTCCTCCGCCATGATGCATATCCCAGGTCCTCCGGCCGTCTTGCCAAAGCGACTCATGAATCGACTGCAACTCAATGCCGAGTCGTTTGTCTGCGACCCTGCCGAGTACCTCATTCGCAAGATGGTCTGTTAAAGACCTGCAGTCTGAAAGCATCAGTTGTGGAATACAGCTGCGGCTGTCATCCAACCATGTTTTCATCGAGTCAAGTTGGCCCATCAGCTCGGCCAATGCTCCACGTAGCTTGTCACCGCTCTCTTGTCCAGCCTGCAGTGAATAAGCTTCGCATTGAAGAGTGCTGCGGCATACTCGCCGAATTGTATTTGATGCAAATCCCAATGGCATCACCCTGTAGGATGTAGTCTTGGGGTCTTTGATCTCATTGATGTCTCCAAGAAAATGGAAACGTCCTTGTTGTGATTTGTAGTTCTTCTCGTTTGAAAATGAAGCATCTGTTACTGTAATGATACCAACCTCTCCCCAGGTTAGATGTCCACCTGGAAAAATGAGCTTGTTCTCAATGCCTTGTTGTGCCAGCTGTACTACGGCATTTGCGTCGTGCAAAATAGCAACTGTCGCTCCAGAAATACTGGACTGTAGGCGGCTCACACGATAACCCAAATCGGGTCTAGTCTGCCTTGCCACCCATGCCAATGATCCCGTTACAGATCGTAATCGGGTCACATCATCCTTACCCAACGGCTCGGACGCTGATCTTCCTGGCGCGATCTTGATCGGCTTGATGCGACGGGTGTTGTCACAAGTGTCTTGTGTGATTGTTCCATCTGCAGTACGCTCAAATTGCTTGCCACAATAGCGAAACGAATTTGATTCACTTGATCCCAAGTTGAACTTCTCCAAGAAGCTGTCGATCACTGACTTTCCCTCAGGAATGTATGCGTACAAGATGTCATCCACATGTGTCGCCATAAGTGCAACGCAATCTTTGTCGGTTCCTGGAAGGAAATACAATCCTGGGTAAAACTTGGATTGTTTCAAGCCACTGGATCGGGCATCTCCGTCCAACCTCAACCAAAAACCTCGACCGCTGTCAGTCAATCCATATATAGGCACCCGCACAAGGAAAAACACCTCTGGATCAACTCCCGGGAGACCTCCTCGGGGTTGTCTCATAATGAGAACTCTATCAAGAGGACGACCTTGGAAATATGCGGATGCGACGTCCGCACTGTGCAATTGTGCGCCCTGGATCGCCGCCCAACAGCAAAGAATGTTGTGAGCTTCCGTATCTGCTGTAGGACTGTCTGATCTCAAACCTTCACTGACTTCGAAATTGCCGCATGATACCAACCGGCTCTTGAACTTTGGCACATATTCTTGATCTGATCTTCCTTTCATGAACTGATTCTTGTCGACATCAACCCACTTGCTAGGAATACATTGATGTCCTTCAGCAATCAACCTCTCAGCATCTTCTTTTGAAATTTCAACAACAGCAGCGAACTCAAGGAACTTGCTCCACTCCTTGGTTCTGGCATCCATGATGTTCTTCTGTACATCAGGTGACGCTGATTCATAGTGGATTGATTTCAACACTTTCTTACCTTGCTCTTCGTCCTCAGGGACTTCAACTTCCTGGGACAAAAATGATGCAAACAATGCTCGTGCTTCTTGTTGTTCTTCAGGACTTCGTTCTGAGTCTCTCTCACGAGCTCTTTCAAGATGTGTTCGCAATTGATGTGGTAAGTCATCCAAAAGTTCCCTTCGCAATGGCCCAGATGATGCTGACGGCGAGGATAGTGGTCCCAAAACGGAGCCACTTGGAGTAAGATCAGGCACAAAGGAGTCTCTCCGAGATGGCACAAGTGATGAGCCTCTCTCCGACTCAGGCTGTAGTTGAGACTCTACTCGAGGTCTCACATTGCGTTCATGATCTCCATCTCCTGGACGTGGTCTTTCAACTCTTCTTTCTGGAGTTCTACTCTGTGAAAAGATGTCTTCTTCCATAGGACCAGTGTCTTCCTCCTCTTCACCTTCTTCAAAGAAACCAGGTCGTATATCCCATTCATCTTCTGGTATCTCTGGTATAGGAGGGAGTGCTGAATCCACATTGTCCTCATGGACAACTTCAACATCGTCTGCTTGTCCTGGACCTTCACGAACAACTTCAACCTCATCTGCTTGCCTTGCATCAAGAAACGCTTGTTGACCTGTATCATTGATGATCTTGTATGGAATCACAGGTTCACCATTCAACACTGATTGAGCAAGAGCTTCAGAAGGAGAAGCAATGCGTATGTTGTGAGAAGCTACAAGTACCGGAACGTTACCACATAGTAACCATATGTTCTTCTGGTTCTCGTGTCCGATCACACGACATGTTGGTGACCAGGAAGTTCCTCCTCGTTGATTGTCTCGTCTGAAAGTGACGAGATCACCAATGTTGAACTCACGATCAAACACACTGGCGTTGCGTGTCAACGCTCGTTGAACTCTTCTTGAACAATCAAGGTGAACAAAAGCCTTTTGTGCCTCAATTCTGGCCAAGTGTTGTAATGCAAAAATTGATGAAGGATCATGTCGGGCCTGAATGGCTCCGAGCTGCGCATGATCTTCCTCTGACATGAGTGAAGCTGCACCAAGGGGAGCTCGACCAAGCACCCACTGGGATGGAGGAAAACCTCCAACACGTGCAGAGTCGTTCTTCACACTAAGCACCTGTGTGATGCACGACTCAACCTGTTCTTTGGTACAAGCCCCAACTTCTGCACACACTCGTCTGAAAAGAGCTTTCAACAAACCACCATGCCTCTCTACTCGGCCCAATGATTCCGGGCTCTCAAGGGGCACATGGTGCACTTGAATGTTGTGTTCATCCATGTATTGTTGCAAGACACCACGATTGTGCAATCCACGGTCACACATGATAGCAACAGGATGTCCTGCCCAACTGAACCAACGTTTGATAAGTGCGTCCAAACAGGATCGCGAAGAAGCTTGGCCTGCTCCAACCTTCACGACTTCAGCCTCTTGAAAACAAGTACCAATGCAAACCATGTTGAGAACTTGATACTTCTGCCCAGTTACATCTGTCAACTCCAGTACATCAATCCCCAAAGTATGGTTAAATGTGTAATCACTGGGAAGCGTGACCTTGTGAGTGGGTTTCTTGGCTGATGTTTTCTCACATGTTTCACATCTATGAAATTTCACTGCATCAACAAACTCCTTACTCACCTTTGCAGCACGCACCAAATTGACCATCACCGACTTGGGGACATGTCCAAAAGCCCTGTGCAACCTACGCACAGCAATCCTGACACGCTGGGGAAGTTTACGCCAAGACCTACGTCTTTCTGATTCATCCTCTGGCAAACCAGGGATATCAACTTCATCCAAAAGAGTCTCTTCTTGGGTCAGGTCCTCAACTGGATCCTGCAATGCAACATCATCTGGACCATCCACTGCATCCCCGTTTCCACCATGTTCCTGAGCCTCTTCAATGATCTCTGCTGGGAAGGCAACGCTCATCTGGTCCTCCAATTCACGCTCAAGTGACCAATCACGAATCCATTGACAAAACTCCCAATTCAAAACGTCATCCAATTGTCGATACATAGACCAGTTTTGAAAACCCTGAATGAGTTCATCATCGTTTGACACAAAAGCGAGACCAACTTCGTTGATATATGGAATCTGTGGTGTTTTGAATGATTCCCATCGTTCAGTGTGCGCGACATCAACAATGAGAAATCTACACCCTGTGGCATCACAATACTGTTCCAACTCAAACACAAGATCCCCATGACACAGTGGATAATGTTCTGAATTGTACTCAATTGCAACAATGATCAATGTGCAACCCTCGAACATGTCACTCCAACCACGTGGCTCAGCATCACCGTCCAAATACGCGGCATTCACGCCGACGTCATAGGTGTGCTCGAAAAGATCCTGGAAAAGAGTCGGATGCGACGTGATGACTGCAACCCTTGAAGTCCCATTGGAAACTTGAGGCTGCATCCCAAGACTGGACTGCATCACACGATCATGGTTGTTGAGATTGTTGATACCTTCCAACACCATCTTTCTGTGTTTCTTGCTCATGGTCCTCCTCTCATCAGGATGGACTGTCAAATCAACGTTGGAATCAAAACGCACGGCCATGAAACCAGTGGGAGAATACTCATAGTCATATTCATAAGAATCGGAATCATCCTGTTCCAACTTGGGCGTCAAGACCTTTGGCTGGGGCTTCGACTTCACTGCATACATTCTTTTGGGTTCTGAGGATTTCATCTCAACTTTCGGATTCAAAGACTTTTCAAAATCATCCCTTATATCCCGTATTTTCTTGTTGGGGGTCAACCTGACACGAACGCTCATGTATGCTCCCCTCCCGGAGTCATCGAACACCCCAGGTGGGTGGTGAAACACAATCACATCGATCCACGAGTTGCTCAAACGCACTGTTGCCCTGCTATCAACGTTGTCTTCAATGAGTTCCCAGTCGCCTCCATTGCGAGGTCGACACCATGTAGATCGCTTCC